CAGGCCAGAAGTGCAGAGGGTGAGAGGATTCACCAGAGACAGTGGGGAACAGAACAGGCAGAATGAGCAGCAGGTGAGTTAGTAGAGATCTGCTGCATCATGTGGGTAGCTCCCTGGCTGGGGATCAAACTTGAGCTGCAGAGGCTGCGTATTGCTTCATAGGCTGCATCTTAACCCCTTGCACCACCAGGGAGGCCCTCTTTATTGTTTATTGATGTGAGCCTGTATTGCTATATATTTTCCTCTTTTTACTGCTTTTTCTGTATCCCATACATTTAGGAAATTGGTATCCTCCTTGTCATTCAACTCACAGTATTTTTTAATTTCTTCTTTGATCTCCTCATCTTCTAGTAGTTTGGGCTTCAATCTCCATGAGGTAGGAGGATTCCTTGCCTTCCTTTTATTGTTAATTCTAGTTTGATTTCTTTGTGGTCAGAGAAGATGGTTGGTATGATTTCAGTCTTAGTGTATCTGCTGATGTTTGTCTGTGTCCCAGTATATGATCAATGCTGGAGAATGATCCATGTGTGCTTGAGAAAAATGTGTACTCAGATTTTTTTAGGTGTAGTGTTCTATAGATGTCTGTTAAGACTACGAGGTAGAGAGCCTTATTTAGAGCCTTAGTGTCCTTACTTATTTTTTGTCGACGTCTGTTTTCAGAGATGATAATAATTGTCTGATATATTTTGGTGCTCCTTCATTTGGTGAGTGTATGTTAATGAATGTTATGTCTTCTTGGTATATTGTCCCCTTGATCATAATGTAGTGTAATGCAGTTCTTGTATGCTCCATCTGAGTCTCTCTTTACCTTTTTGAGTTTGAAATCTGTTTTATCTGACATAAGTATAGCTGTTCCTGCTTTCTTTTTTGGTCCATTTTCTTGTAGGATTGTTTTCCATCCTTTTACTTTCAGTCTGTTTTTTATCTTTTGTAGTTAAATGTGTTTCCTGGAGACCGCAAAAGGTTGGGTTTTGTTTCTTAATCCAGCCTGCAACTCTGTGGTTTTTATTGAGGAGTTTAGTCCATTTACATTTAGCGTTAATATTGATATGTTGGCGTCTATATTTGCCATTTTATTTGTCTTTTCTGTGGTTTTATTGTTTGTCTTGGTTCGTTGTTATTCATCTCTCTGTTGGTTCCAGTTTTAGGACTCCTTGTAGTATTTTTTGGAGAGGAGGTTTAGCGTAATGAAATTCTGGAGCTTGTTTGTCTGGGAAGTTTCTTATACTTTCTTCATAGAGGAAGGAAAGCTTTGCTGGATAAAGTGTTCTTGGTTGATATTTGTTGTCCTGGAGTTTTTACTATGTCCCTCCACTCTCTCCTTGCCTGTAGTGTTTATTTGGAGAAGTCTGATGTCAGCCTGATTGGTTTTCCTTTGTATGTTATCTGTTTCTTCCCTCTTGTCAGTTTCATAATTTTTCCTTGTCTTGATTCTTGGAAACTTTACTATTATGTATCTTGCTGTATTTTACTTTCATCATGGAAGTTTGGTGTTCTTCTTGTTCCTTCTTCATGCTTGGGAAGTTCTCATTGATTATCTCCTTGAATATTTTCTCTGTTCCTATGTAGACACATAGGGATCCTTCGGGATCCCTATAACTCATATTTCCTTTCCTCATGGAGTCAGATAGTTCCCAAAGTCTGTCTTCATTCTTTTTCTTTCATACTTCTCTTTCCTTTTCTGTTTTGGTTCTTTTTATTTCTGTGTTTACGAGAGTACTTTTTCATTCTTCCATTTCATCTATTCTGCTTTCACTGCTTTCCCCAGAGTTCTTTAGCTCCTCCATTAATCCTTTGATCTCCTGCATTTCTTTCACTTCCCTCTTTAGGGACTCAATTTCATTCTTCTGATTGTTGATTATTTTCCCCATATCATTTTCTACTTCTTTCAGTTTTTTAATCATGGTGATTTTAAATTTTCTATCGAGAAGGCTCAGAAGTTTTTCCAAGTCACTGTTGTTGCAGTCTGGTGGTTGATTTTCTTTTTGTTGTGTGTCCTTTCCCTGAGGACTGCTTGGGTGCTTGTAGTTTTTCTTCTCCCTGCTGCTTGTTTTTTGATTTGTACTATGCGTTGACACACTGTGTCTCTGGTACTGGCCAACATCTCTTTGGTGAGCTCCTTCTGGGATGTCGGAAGCTCTGACTTTGGGGATAGCCCTTTCTCAGTTCCACACAATTTTGGTGAGGTCCGGATGTGGAGCTCCCTGCTTTAAAGGTGGTGTGTCTGGGAGACGCTCACCTGTGCCCTTGGTCTGCCCCAGTGGTGGCTGGATCCCCCTCTGGGCACCAACTTGTGGCCAGTTGGTGGGGGGGGGTGCCTGGCTTGTGTGGAGGGGGGAGGAGGAGAAGTGGGGAGGGTGTTCACTTCACCTCTGACTGTGGGGACAGCACTTCTCAGAGTCATACAGTTTTGGTGAGGTCTGGATGCAAAGCTCCCTATCTTAAATATGGCGTGTCTCACACGTGTTTTTTGATAACTCGGTGAGGGTCATTCACCTCAGTGACAGTTCCAGCATGTCTTCCCAGGAAAATAGGTTGAGTGCGCAGGGACCTGGGCAGCCACGTTTCACGTGTGCTTTCTGAGCACGCGCACTTTTCCACACAAGCTTACCAGCTGCCCTTGGGCTATTTGTAGGTCTCTCCACTGAGTCCTTATCTTCCTCTAATGGTGCCCAGAGCCGTTCGCTCACTTCTATGGCGATTCCTGCACAGTTCTTCAGTTACCATTCGCAGGATGCGGTGCCTGCAATAGTTTCTTTCTACTCAGTGCCCCCTCTTGATCTGTAGTTTGTTGTTGTTGTTGTTTTTCTCCTTTCTGTTGGACGGAGAGTGCCGGCTTTGTGGGTGGGGGAGGGTAGCAGGGTTCTGAGCTTTACTCTCTTCTCGTGCACTTTTATGGCAACTTTCCTCTTCAGGCAGTTTGCCAGAGTTGCCCTTTATCTTCCGTGTCCTGGTTCTCACAGGGACCTGCCACATTTCCTCCCCATAATTTTTTTTTATGGGAAGACTTACTCGCAGCATTTCCCCACCGCCATGTTGATCCACCTCTTCACAAGTCTCATATATTAATTTGATGGAAGTGTAAAATCTACTATGATCGTGAATTTTGTCCTCCCATCTATATATTTCTTTTTTTTTTTTTAATAGAGGCATGTTTTTATTTATTTATTTATTTGTTTGTTCGTTTGTTTTGTTTATACATGCACTGGGTACAGTCAGAAGTGCGGGAGGGTGAGAGAATTCACCAGAGCCAGAGCGGGGAGCAGAGCAGGCAGAAGGACCGAAGCACACTGCTGAGGGGAGCAGCGGGCGGCAGGAGAGGTCTGCGCGCCATGTGGGACCCTCCTCTGGTGGCCGGGGAGCAGCCGGGAATCGAACCGGCGCTGCAGATGCTGCGGGCAGCTTCGCAACCCAGCGCTCAACCGCTGCGCCACCGGGGAGGCCCCCATCTATATATTTCTGAATTTAATGTATATATGTCAAAACTATACTTAGTGATATATAATTATAAGTTATAATTATAAAAATGAAATTTATCTAAATTATAAAAGTGTGATTATATAATTACAAATATATACAAAGCTATATATAATTTATATATTTCAAGCTATATATATTTCAAGAAATATATATTTCTTTGAAGAAATATATTTCAAAGAAATATGTAATAAAACATTTAAAATGTAGGTTTAGGTAAATCTTCTTGGTAAATTTTTTTCTTCTTTATCACTTGGTTTACCTATTTTGCCCCAAATAATGTTTATGTACTATTAATATTTTCAGGATGAGCCATTTTGAAAGTTGATATTTGTCTGGGTTATCTTTTTTTTTTTTTAAGATTTATTTATTTATTTATACAAGCACTGGGTACAGTCAGAAGCACGGAAGGGTGAGAGAATTCACCAGAGCCAGAGCGGGGAACAGAACAGTCAGACAAGGAAACACACTGCTGAGGAGAGCAGCGGGTGCGGCAGAAGAGGTCTGCGCGCCATGTGGGACCCTCGCTGGTGGCTGAGGATTGAACCTGCCCTGCAGAGACTGCGGGCAGCTTCACAGCCCAGCGCTCAACCACTGCACCACCAGGGGAGGCCCTGTCTGGGTTATCTTTTCCCATCCATGTTTAGTGTTCCTAATTGGTTTTCAGTTGTGCTTCTTGCAAGAGGCATATAGCTATAGTTTGTTTCTTTTTTCATCTGGTCTAATAATCTGTTCTTTGAAAGCTTGCCCCCCTGCCCTTGTGTGTCTGTTACAAACCCCGATTAGTGGATGTTACTTTTCTAGAATTCTGTAGTTCAAATAATCTAGAGAGAGTAATCTGTTGAGAACCTGTGTTTGTATTTTGAGTGTAATAGAAATTCAAAATGCAGTACAGAATTTTAAAAAACAAACATGATAATGTAGTAATGAGCTTTTGGTCACAAATATGTGCATTAGCGCTCAAGTCTCATAGCTTATAAACTAAGCAGTGGTCCACATTAGAAGGGAAGTTTAGGTGCTGGACTTGGTGTGGTTTTTTTTTTTAAGATTTATTTATTTATGCATATAAGAACTGGTGTACAGGCCAGAGGTGTTGGGGGGTGGGGTGAGAGGATTCACCAGAGACAGAGCAGGAAACAGAATAGGCAGATTGACCAAAATACACTGCTGAGGGGAACAGCAGGCGAGCCAGGAGAGGTCTACTGCACCATGTTGGTGCCCACCCCCCCACCCCGGCTGGGGATCGATCTCTGTGCTGTAGTGGTTGCAGCTAGCTCCATAGGTTTCATCTTAACCCCTTATGCCACCAGGGAGGCCCTGGACTTGGTGTGTTTTACAGTCTCAGCTTTTCCCTAGTAGCCCATTATTTGTGACATTTTCCCCATCTAACAGAAGCCCACAAGCACCCTGTAGAAAACAGTGGAAATGCTACTGGAGAAAATAGCACACAACCATCCCCACTGTGCAGACAGTGTGTGGGGGACACGTGCCCCTCCTGTTACATGTCAGCTCTTACTTTGCAGTGTGGCTTCCTGCTGTGGTGCATGGCCCCCAGCCCTTCCAACGGTGCCGAGCTCCTCTACAAGCGCATTATCCGTCCTGTCTTCCTGAAGCACGAAGCCCAGGTAGATGTTGTGGTGAAAGACCTGAAAGACAAAGCCAAGGAGACTGCAGATGCCATCACCAAAGAAGGTAAGACTTGGGGCAGCATGGTTCGGTGTGTGAGAGGAGACGGGATATGCTGGGCCTCAACAAGCTTCCCAGCCTTCTTGTCCTGTCAGTTCTCTTCAGCCAAACGCCAAAGCTATGCTGGGATTTTCTTACCAAGGCTGCCTATTGCCTTTTACTTTTCCCACATTTAATGTGCCATTCAACCATCACATTAGCAAAAATGACTTTCAGTGGTGGCAGAGATTTAGATAATACCCTAATTTATATACAAATATAATCTCTTTAACACAGTTCAGGTTGAACTGCTTACTATGCTTTTCAAGATGCTTTTTATTTATAGGTACAAGAGAATGCCCCCTCTCTCAGCTCTCCTAATTCATTCAACAAATGTTTATTTTTTAATTGAAGTTTTTTCATATGTTCTTATAACATATTAAGTTCTTAATATGTGCTTATGAACTTATAAGCATGTTCACAGTACTGGGAATAAACCAGTGAACAAGATCATGTTCCTTGAACTCATGAAGCTTGTAATCTTGTTGAGAGAGAATGACAATAAAATTTTAAAGTAAAAAAAAAGAAAAATTTTAAAGTAACTTATATTTTATATTAATAGTTTACAGATGATAGAGAAAAAAAATAAAGCAGAAAGATAGTGTCAAGGGCTTCCTAGTGCCAGGAGCTGAAGGATAGGCTACAATTTTAAATAGAGTGATTAAGGAAATTCTCATGCTGAAGGCTGTCCTGAATCAGATTTGAAAGTGGTAAAGGAAGGCACAGAGAAAAGGAGCTCCAGAGAATGCTCCAGAGAAAAGGAGCTGTGCTTGCAACAGCTGGCAGGTGAGAGCACTGTGACTGGAAGGGGGACATCCAGGCAAACCAGGCAAGTCCAAGAGGTTGGGCAAAGTAGGCTGGAGGAAGGCAGATGGTGTCATGTCTTGCAGGCTATTTTATTTTATTATTTTTTTTTTAATTTTTTTTTTTAAGATTTATTTATTTATTTGTACAAGCACTGGGTTACAGTAAGAAGTGCGGGAGGGCGAGAGAATCCACCAGAGCCAGAGCGGGGAACAGAACAGGCAGACCAACGAAATACACTACTGAGGGGAGCAGCTGGCCGGCAGGAGAGGTCTGCGCGCCATGTGGGACCCTCCTCCAGTTGCCGGGGAGCAGCTGGGGATCGAACTGGCGCTGTCGAGGCCGCGGGCAGCTTCGCAACCCAGCGCTCAACCGCTGCGCCACCAGGGGAGGCCCCTTGCAGGCTATTTTAAAGGCTTTGGATTTTACTCTGTGTGAGTTGGGTGCTAATGGAGAATTTTGAGCAAAGGAGCAACATGATCCATCTTGTATTTAACAAGATCACTTTGGCTACTATAATGTATCAAGAATAGCCTGAAGTGGGGACAGGGAGGACATTGGTAGACCAGTTAAAAGATTATTGCAGTGACTGTATGATGGTGGTGGCTTAGTTCATAGTGGTAGCTGTGGGAGCTAAGATGTCATTGGATTCTTGATGTATTTTAAAGCTAAGTGGATATTATTTGTGGATCAGGCATGGAGTATGAGAGAGGGGTCAATGACAAGATAAAGCTTTTGAGCCTGAACAAATGCAAGAAAAGAATTGTCATCGTGCAGGAGAGGACTGGATATAACAGATTTGAAGGGAAAAACAAAGAATTTCCTTCTAGACATAACTTTGAAGTGTATATTAGATACCTACATGGAGCAATCAAACACCAGTTGGATATAGATATCTGAGAGTTAAAGAGAAAGGTCTTGGCTGGGGATTTAAATTTGGGGGTTACCAGCATATCCAGTATAGTAAGCATGAGATTGGAGAAGATCACTGAGAGCGAATGTAGTTAGGAAAGAGGAGGTCTGAGAACTGGGCCCTTGGCCCCAATATTTAGAGACTCAGAAATGCAGACTGAGAAGGGAAAGCCCAGTTGAGAAAAAAATCCATGAAGCTGTGGTATCCTTGAGTCAAGTGCAGAGAGTGCTTCAAAGAGTTAGGAGCAATCCAGTGTCACATCTGCAGACATGTCAAATAAGATAGATAAGGGCTGAAATGTTATTTGATTTAGCATTGAGGAAAGCACTAGTGATGTTGACAAAACAGATTTTGTGGAGTGGGAGCAAAATCCTGACTGTTACAGATTTGAGGAGAATGGGAGGAAAGACATGACCTAATTTAGACAACTGTTTGGAGAAATTTCCTGCAAAGAGGAGAAATGGAAGAATTTATTTTTTCTTTTCTTTACAGTAGAAGAAATAAAATATGTGTGAAGGTTAAAGAGAATAATCCAGGAGAAAGGCATGTTGAGAAGAAAAAATAATTTTGAAAACATGAATTGGAGCTCTGACCTTAATTAGACTAGACAAGACAGGTAACCTTGTGTAAATGGAGGGATTACTCACAGGAGCAAGAACAATGTATAATAACAGAAGGGAAATCAGGGCTTATGGCTGCAGATATTGGTAGGTGAGCTTACAGAAGTGATTGTCTGATTGCTTCAAATTTCTCACTAAAGTAGGAAGAAGGTTAGCTGAGAATAAGGGAAAAGGTGATGGAAAGACTAATTATGAACTGACTATCTGGGACTGAGGTAAACATTTTCTGTGGAGTGCCACATAATAAATATTTTCTTTTTTAAGGACCTTCGGGTCTTTTTGCAACTACTCAACTCAGCCACTGTACTGTGAAAGCAGCCACAGGCAATTGTAAACCAGTATGTCTGTAATTTGCTTGGCCCTCTTGGACTGTGGGGGAGTGAATGGACTGTGTGACATGGTTGCTAGGGAGTATGAAAGACTGACTTGAGATTTGTTTGTGATTTTAAAGTGAGACTGTTGTGTTTTTCTCCTCCCACATTCACTCCATGGATGGAGTGTGTGTCAAGGTTGATTTTGATAGAATTTGTATGTAGAAGTGTCTGGCTGGGCTTTTGTTTGGGGGGAGATTATTTTTTAAAGATTTATTTATTCATGCATACAAGAATTGGGGTACAGGCCAGAGGTGTGGGGGGTGAGAAGATTCACCAGAGACAGAGTAGGGAGCAGAGCAGGCAGACCTACTGAAATACACTGCTGAGGGGAGCAGCAGGTGAGTCAGGGAGATTTTTACTATTATTTTCTTCTTAGCTTAGCTAGAAGTTTATTTTATCTTCTCAAAGAACCAACTATTAGTCTCACTGATCTTTTGTAGAGACCTTTTGATTTCTCCGTCTTCTATTTCTGCTCATTTTATTATTTTCTCCTAACTGAATCATGTTTGTTCTTTTTTTCCAAGTTGCTTTAGATGTGATAGATTTTTTTATTTGATTTTTCTTCCTTCCTATTTCAATTATCTTCTCCCTTAAGATTGCACTTGTTGCATCCCATAATTCTGATAGTTTCTGTCATTTTCTTTTGGCTCAAGGTACCTTTTCTAATGATGAAAAAATTTATATTTAGAATTAGTCCACTTTAAATGATTCCAGTTTTGTTGGAAACATCTAAAAACAATCAGGAGCGGGCCTCCCCGGTGGCGCAGCGGTTGAGCGCTGGGTTGCGAAGCTGCCCGCGGCCTCTGCGGCTCCGGTTCGATCCCCGGCTGCTTCCCGGCTACCGGAGGAGGGTCCCACATGGCGCGCAGACCTCTCCTGCAGCCCGCTGCTCCCCTCAGCAGTGTACTTCGGTCCCTCTGCCTGCTCTGCTCCCCACTCTGGCTCTGGTGAATTCTCTCACCCTCCCGCGCTTCTGACTGTACCCAGTGCATGTATAAACAAACAAACAAACATATAAAGAAAGAAAGAAAACATGCCTCTATAAAAAAAAAAAAAAAAAACAATCAGGAGCTTTGGAGGAGCTAGTTGGCCATATGCCTTTTATTCTCCATCAGGTTTGATCAGGGTGTTGTTGACCTTGGCCATGTCAATGTCATAGACTTTTTTCACAGTCTGCTTGTTGGCTTTGACATCCACAATGAACACTAGTGTGTTGTCCTCTCTCCCTCATGGCTGGGGGAATTTGATGATGGCATAATGGTCAAGGTTGTTTCTCCTGTGGGTGGTCTTCTGAGGATATTTGGGTTGCCTTCAGAACTACAGTATCTTAGACCACTGGAAAGTAGGTGACAATGCGAATCTTCTTTCTTGTGTGGCTGTGAAGCGGGTGTGTGCTGTTACCATGATTACAGCTGCTGCTGCTGCTTTTCACCCTAGTAACCCTTAAATTACCATGAGTTCTTGTCCCGTGAAGCTGTAAAAAGAAATTCATAGACAAACCCTCGATAAATAAGCGGAGAGAAGCAAATCTTTTAGAGAGTAAAGAAAAGATTATTTAGAGGAGAAAGAACAAAAGCAAAGACTCCAAGACAGCGATGCCAAGGAGGAACAAAAGATACCATATGGGCCTGCGTCTAGGGGATATTTAAACCTTTTTTCTCTGTTCTAAAATGTCATCATCCTACTAGGTGTTTGCCTCTTTCTCCTAGTGGCTGTACTCCAGGCAGATGTATCCATTTTCCCAGCTCTTAGAGTTTCTCCTTTACCTCCCCTGTCCAAGTTCTCTTAATATTTATTGCCTCCAGTAACCCTTCTCTCTGGAGTAGGTTTTGTTTAACCCCTTTTTAACTGTCCCAAAGTCCTGCCTGCACTGTCCCTGAAGCTGTCTGATTAACCCTAACTTGCCTGGGACTCAGCTATGGAAGCCTTTCAACACTGCTTTCTTGTTCTTTAAAACTTTTGCTTTGGTTTTGGCTTTGGGAGAGGCAGGGACTTCCTTCTTTGCTTTGAGCACCATCTTTATATTATCAAGGTATATTTTAATTTCTTCTTTGACTTCCTCTTTTATCCAATAGATATTAAGCAGCATGTTGTTTAGTTTCCAAGTGTTTATAGTCTTTATGCCTTTTAACTGGTGAATTCAGGCCACTTACATTTAAGGTGATGTTGAGACTTAAATGCTGACTGCCTTTTTTTTTTTTTTAGTTTGTCTTTTTCTTTTGATTTTTTGAGCTCTTCTATGTATGTTTTGTTTAGAATCCATTTCCATGTCTTATTTGTTACTTCTACTGAGTTTGTTTGAGATTTAGTATATGATGGACTATTTGTGTGAACCACTGGACTGTCTGTTCCCAAACTCATTCTGATGGGCCACATTGTTGCTGTCCTCTTCCATATTATATAATTTAGGTGACTGTTACCTTTTTATTTGTTGTTCTGTCACTTTATAATAACCCTGTAGTACTTCTTTCATGTGAAGCTTTTAGTTTTTTCTTTTCAGTGAAACTCTTACACTTCCTTCTGTCTAGAATGTTATTCTTGTAGGTTAAAAGATTCTAGACTAGAAATATTTCTCTTTGAACATTTTAAATATACTCTGCTGTTCTCTTCTTGCCAGTAGAGTTTCTACTTAAAAGTCTACAGACAACCTAACTAGTGTTCCCTTATAGGTTACCTTTTTCTCTATATATTTTTAGTATTCTGGCCTTGTCACTGGTTTTCAAGTTTTATTATAATGTGACTTGAAGTGTGCCTGTCTGGTATTGTTTTGTTTGGAACTTTTTGGGCCTCTTGGATCAGGATATCTGGTTCATTTCCCATCTTGAAATGATTTTCAGTAATTATTTCTTTAAATACATTTTCTATGCCTGTCTATTTCTCTTCTACTTCTGGGAACACCATGGTATGGGTGTTATTTCTCTTTAGGATATCCCAAGGATTCTTTTTCTTTTCTTTTTTTAAAGATTTATTTATTTTTGCATACAAGAACTAGGGTGTAAGCCAGAGTCACAGGGGCTGAGAGGACTCACCAAAGAGAGTGGGGGCAGAACAGGCAGATGCACTGAAATACACTGCTGAGGGGAGCAGCAGGCAAGGCAGGAGAGGTCTGCTGAGCCATGTGGGTTGCTCCCTGACTGGCAGGAGATAGAACTTGTGCTGCAGTGGCTGGCGATAGCTTGATAGTGCTGTCTTTAACCCCTGTGCCACCAGGGAGACCCCCCCCCACCCCAAGGATTCTTACACTATTTTTATTTTGTTTATTCTTTTTTTCTCTTTGTTGTTCTATTTGTGTTTTCTGTGACATTGTGCTTTAGAGTTCACCAATTTTCTCCACTTCTTGCATTTCTCTGCTGTTGAGGCCATCTACAAAAGCATTACATTTTTTAATTCGGTGATAGTATTTTTTAGATCAATTGGTTCTAATTGTTACAGTCTCCTATTTCTTGGTCTTTATTCTATGCCTGTTTTACATTTTCCACTGTTTCTTTTAGTTCAGTGAGTCTTGTGAAAACTGTTACCTTGAACAGTTCTGATGAATTTACTTCTTGTAGGCTTTTCTTTGCTCCAGTGTTTGTGTTATGTTCTATTGTCTATTCATTTTTAGTTTTTACAGGTTGTAGCAGGGATAAACTTTCAGATTGCTGCCTTTACTCTGTTAGGTGTCCAGAGAACAGGTGGCAAGGGGTAACAAGTAGAAAGAAACTGAAGTATACATAGAGCACAGGAGGGTCATCTCCAGTGAGAATCAGGGATTCAAGCTTCCTTCTGTTGTGTCATGAAGCTCCATAGAGACCCCCTTCTCCAGAAAAACTCCCAGCCTATGTGTATGAACACACACACACACACCACTTCATATGTGTCACACACCACTTGAGCATTGGACATGGATTGTTTTTGAGACAACGCCAACAAGACAGGTATTGGTTTATGCATTTCCAGTATAGAGCCTTACCCTGGGGTGTTTGTGCCTATTGTTGAGATCTAGGTGTTTAAATTCTAGTTAATTCAGGTGTCATCTCAGTTTTGGTCCTGGGTTGAATGGTGGCAGGTGTTTAAAATATCACAGCCTCAGGCTGCAAGTCAGCCTCATCTATGAGGATACTCAGGTGATCTGACCTAGTTCTCTCTATTGGTTCAGGCTCCAGCTGTTCTATAGTCGGAGCCTTCAGTTCAAGCCAGTAATTATCACTCTACACCCGTTTGTTCTATAGTTTCCCAACAGTGCACCCTCTGTCCTGGATGTCAACTCTGTACATACCCTTATGCAACAAAGTGCTGGGTCTCCAAAGTCTTTAGTGTAGGTATGAGCCTGAGTCAAGAGCTGAAGGTGGTGGTGGGGGGGATGGTTCCATTCAGCAGCCATATCTAACTCATGAGTTATATTGCACTAGTTTTGCAACAAACACAGTTTACTGCTGGACCATTGCTCCTGTTTTGTGCTATAGTTGTCTGTTATCTTTCAGGGGTTAACTTTGTCCTCACTTTGCTGCCATCTTGTTGGGACTCCTCAAAGTTGACTTTTTAAAATAAAAGCTATGAAGTTAGAGTGGGGCTAACAAATAGGTAATGCCTGACAGTGGAAATTAAGCTGGGTGAGGAAGAAGAGAAGAACAGAAAGGAAAGAGAGGATCAATGTAAAAAGTATTAGGATCAATGAATAGAAAACCAGGTGGTGGGGGAGGAACTCTGAATCAGTATAATAGTGATCATGAGCTTCAGGGATAGGAGGCACCGAGATTAAAGGAACTGTAGTTCTTGGCAGTGACAGAGGCCATAGAGTGAGTGTCTGAGGTAGAGTATGGTAGGTAGGATGAAACATTGTTTTGGGAGGGAAGAACTAAGGGGCTAGGATATTAGAAGGATTGTGAACATCTATGGTTATTGAAATCATCAATAATTAAAATAGGAGTAGTGTTAGAAAATAATGTTATCTTTGGAGCAAAATCTTAAAGAAATGAGGCAGCATATGTAAAGATCAGAGGTGGCTAGGGGAAAACACACTAGTAGTAGATATAATAAGATTCTGAATGGAAAATGAAGAACAAAGAACAATGAAGAACAAGAACAACCTCAAGCCCTGGTGCTAGAATCATAGAAGAAAACAAATAATCACAACCAGAGAAAACACTGTCCTTAAGGACAGCTGGATTTCTGTAAAAGCAAGAAGGTATAAAGGAAACATTCAGAGACATGAATGAGGATATAGAAGTTATATATAGAAAGCTAATGATGATCTTAAGTTCCACAGGGTTTTTAGAATTTGTAGAAAAGTGGGCAATGGACTTATAATTCGGGATTTTTTTTTTTTTCACTCTTTAATTAGAAAGTGGGAAATGAGAGATGACCTTGCCTCTTGAGGAGGCAAGATGCCCACCAAGATAGCTCTCAGCAGCACTGGTGTCCCTGCAGGATGTTCCCCCACTTCCTTCTCACAGGCCTCTCTCCCTCCTACACTGCTGTTTCTGGGCACAAAACTCCAATCTACTTAAATTCTTTTCTATAATTTTAAGAATTCTCTTAACTTGTAACTTCCATACCCTTCTTCCACCTTGGGCTCACCAGTTTCTTTTTCAGAGCTCAGGACTCCTAGATGGCCTTCAAGAACTTTGTTCAAATACTAATATTTGTGATCTGAGGCGATATCTTGTCCATTTCCTGGAAATTCTCAGCCTAGATCACAGACTTCTGTGTTCCCTTCTGAACATGAGTCATGCGATTGCTATCTGGTAGCTACATTAAGCACAGAGCCTATGTTGCAAACAACTTTGATTATTTTTCTTTCCTTCTAACAGCCAAGAAAGCTGCTGTGAATTTACTGGGTGATGAAAAGAAGAGTACCTAAGCCATGACTGGATGGACCCTTTCTGCCCTCTCTATACCTTCTTATTAGAGCTTGCTATTACTACATTAGGGATTGTGGTATAATTGTTTTAATGTTACCTTGGACACATTTTTGATATATGAAAAAAAGGAATGTGTTGGGTTGTTTTTGTTTTTTTTGTTTTTTGTTTTTTTTTTTTGCTTACTTTTACTATATACATAAGGAGCATTTTAATTTAAATTTAATGTAATTTTTGGAAAATATGTTTGCCTCTGGGTAGGAAGAGACAGATGTTACTGTCCTACAGGAAATAAAAACTTAAAATTAAGTATCCCACAGGCATTATACCTTACTGGTCTCTCTCTGCATGCATTCTCTCTGTACTTACACTTACTCTGTATGGTTCTACTTCATGAAATGTACAATTTTGTATGAAATGTTTTTAATGTATTTGTGCATTTATGTGGAAAAATGTTATAACATGCATAATGCTCATGGAGAGCAACTGTCAAAAACTGAAGACTCCATTGTGATCTGCTAAATAATACTGCAGAAAATTAATACAAATGAATAATATTTCTAAGTCAGTTAAGTGATAAATGAGATTGAATGGAGGGTGGCCTCCTTGTTTTCCTATCATGGTAGCATCTAAATATAAGAACAACTTTGTAAAGCAGTCACTTTAGTGATAAATGTGGAAATGTACACACACATTAGTAATTACAACTCCTAATTCTGTGTAGAACTCGTAATACTATCTTGTGGCCTTTTAAATACTTGCTTATAAGCTTTAGATGTCTCTATTTTAAGATGCTAAAGTTTCTTAACTTCAAGCTGGTTTCACTTTCAAAAGTGAGGAGTAATGTAACATGTTGGTTTAGTCTTGTTTTATTTCCTAGTCTTTTTTAAAACTACTTTAAGGAACTGCCCATCTCTGATTCCATATTCTTGTTTATATCATTGGTAATGTCATGATGATACTAGGTTTTAAGAACAATGCTGACAGAATGAAAGGAAGTATAATAAAACCTGTAACCTAGTTGGCAGTGGTTAAGCCAGCTGCCCTAACCTTCTTTCTCTGGCCTTTTAGGGCAAATACAAGAGATACCCCTAGTATACTATTCACAATCATTTATAGTCCTTTAAATGTTATCATTTTTATGCTTTCTGTTGATAACCTGCATTTAACTTCAGAGCAAAAAGGATAAATTAATATCTGAAGCTGGATCAGCCAAATAATAGAGACCTTGACAACTTGTCAGGACTAGATAATTGAGCTTTATACCAGTACTACTGCTTGGAGCCTTCTGAAGTAGAATAAATTGACTAAAACAAGACTGTCACAGAACTAACAAGATTAAATATCCAACCTATAAAATATTTGTTGAGGCAAATAGAGCTGGTTAACTCTCTTTTAGGTAACAATTAAGATTGTAACATGGTTCATGTTATAAAAATGAGACAGTATCACCCAAATATTACAATATGGATCAGGGCTTTATTTTTTTTCTGAAAAACAGTGGTGATCATAAGTCATCTTAGTAAACTTACCTCAAAATTAAAAAAAAAAAAAAAAAAAAAAAACCTTTAGAAAGCAAATAATTGTTACTGGGAGAAAAATCAAGCCTTAACTTTTTGTTTTTAAAAAAATATCTCTAGGAATATTTAAAGCCCTTTCCCCATAGATAAAGTATGCTTTTCTTGATGGCAGAAAAATGAAAATTAGCAACTTAAAAATTAGAATATGTAATTGTTAGAATCCAAAACATATAACTTTTACTACATAGAATATATTATCAGGCAAGAAAGGGAGGCATAAGTTACTACTGCTCATAACTGCTTATAGGCTAATAAGTTTAAAAGCTATATTAAGAAAATATATTCTGACTGAAAATTTTTTATCCATATAACTTTCTCCTACAGTGCATTCTGCAAGGAATTTAGGTTACTCTTCTGGGCAAAGTGTACATATTATTGGCAGAAGCTATGAGTTGAAAATTCTCAGTTTAGATTTCCCAAAGAATATATTGCTATGGTTAATGTATTTGAAAAACTAATTAAACCTGTGTTTAGCTAGAAAACAAGCATTTATTAGTACCTGAATGATATTTCAGGGGTATGTAAAATTACAGAATCCCTACAGCAATTTCTTTCCTACTTGAAAGGTTTCAAATCAACAGTTACTGCTACCCTGCGAGACTCTTCTACATACAGCCTGAAGAAAATGAGCATAACCTTTAAATAAATTACAACCTATCTTGGAGATGTGATATATTAAGTGGAAATGGATGTAAATAAAATTCCGTTATCTCAGTGACTGTTCTATTTCATTTTATTTTATGGGCTTTGGAAAAAAAACCCTAAAATTACTTAAGCAAAATCATAGTAAATATAGAAATGAATTTTAAACATTGCTGTTTATTAACCCCATTGCTTATCTGTAATTTTTCCCTACTGATCACTGCTTGTCAGAGGAAAGACCTTCCCTAAAAAAGTTTCTACCAATAATTAGTACTAGATTTAAAAGAAACTGAAACCATCGCTTTCTATACACACCAGTCTAGTGTAACATAAGATAGTGTTTTGCATATATGCTGATGTATAATAAACACTTCTTAAACGTGCCTCTAAATCATTCCGTACTATTTTATTTTATTTTATTTTTTAAATATTTATTTATGCATACAAGAACTGGGGCACAGGCCAGAGATGTGGAGGGTGAGAGAATCCACCAGAGACAGTGGGGAACAGAACAGGCAGAGTGACTGAAACACACTTCTGAGGTGAACAGTGAGGAGGCGGGAGAGGTCCGCTGCGCCATGTGGGTAGCTCCCTGGCTGGGGATCAAACTCGTGCTGCAGTGGCTGCAGACAGCTTCATAGGTTGTGTCTTAACCCCCTGCGCCACCAGGGAGGCCCTCTAAATCATTCTGTATTATTTTAGAAGAGACTGAGAAAAGAACTTGAGAATTTTATTTAAAATACCTACTTCTGGAAGGGTGATTTTTGATCAGCTCTATCACATACATCTACTTTCACTTAGACCTGTATGTCTAGAATCATGGTGTTTAGAAGAACACACACATTTCACATTCTTAGCCATCAAGATTTCAGTACAGTATAGTCTGGCAAGAAAGTAGATAAATTTGAGAATGACCTTAAAAGTTTTCCTAGGTCCTCTTAAAATACTGGCTTGTAAGATCTCTTTATAACACACACTTCATGGAGAATTAAGGGCAATAAGGAATTTCTTTGGTTAAATCAGTAGTTCTCCTACATTAAGATGCTTTCTTTGAGCAGAGGGGGCATTGTTAAAACAGAGTGATGATCCCATCACCCCCCTAAGTTTTGACTCAGTAGGTAAGGCGTGGGGCTGAAAAATTTGCATTTTCATCATATTCCCAGGTGGTGGTCCAAGAACCGCACTTTGAGATAAAACCACTGGGTTAGGTAAATGTATCTTTACAAAGGTTTTCAGATCTGGCTGCACATTACAGTCACTTGAGAAGCTTCCTAAAAAAACTGTTTTTTACCTCTACTGCTAGAAATTCTATCAGTCAGCTATGGTACCCAGGTACCAGTGCACTTTTAAACTACAGGTGATCCTAATATATAGCCAGGGCTGAGAACCACTGATGACTACTAGTAAGAACAAGAATCCCAAAAGATTTGTCTTAGCTAGATAGTTCATCTGGCATGTTGGTTTGCTGTTGTAACAAATTACCACAAATTTGATGGCTTCAAAGAACACAAATGTACTAGCTTACAGTTTTGGAGACATCTGAAAATGGGTTGATAGAGCTGCATTTCTTATGGAGAATGTAGTGGAGAATCTATTTCCCTGCCTTTTTTCAGCTTCTAATGTGGCCTGCATTTCTTGGCTTGTGGACCTCTAATACTTCAACATTGACTTCCTTTTTATAAGGGGATTATATTGTAATTATATTGGACCACCTGGGTAATCCAAGGTACTCTCTCCAGTTTGAAATCCTTCATCCCATCTGCAAAGACCATTTTCTTTCTTTTAAAATTAATTTATAAATTTTCTTATATCATTGTAAAGATGTGATTAAGATGGGGCAGTAGTTTATTTCTCTTCTCAGGTTCTAGTCCTCATTCTCCCATCACCATAGCACACCCGTGATCCATCTCCCCCAACCCTTACACTTTTCCCTCTCCTGCTGTATGCTTCAGATCTATGGTCAGTTTGCAAGTTTTGTCTTTTTCCTAACCCTTTTTTCTGTTCCTCTACATTCCACATAAGATTGTCCTTGGATATTAAACTGATAAGAACTCGATGCTAGCGAAAAGGCTGAAAAGACTGTTTCCATGTAACTTAACATTCACAGGTTTGGGGGGGGGTGCTGTAGGGGAGCATTATTGTACCTACTTTACCCAGTTTCTCTTTGGGTATAGAAATTTCACTATAAAGTCACACCCAATATCAAAATGCAGATCTTCGTTGACTTACAATGGGGTTATATCCAAAGAAATCCACTGTACATTGAAAATACCAAAGTTGAAAATGCATTTAATACACCGATCAAACATTATAGCTACCTTAATTATGCTTTTATCAGCTTATATCAAGTAAAAATCACCTAACACAAAGTCTTTTTTTTTTTTTTTTAGAGAAAGAAGGGGGTGGGGGCGGGGAAAGGAAGGGTTGGGGTCAAAATAAGGGGGTTGTAATTGTATGGGGAATATAAAAATAAAATTTAAATTAAAAAAAAGAAAATAATAACACACTGGAGTCATGGAAAAAGGGTGATCAAACTTTCTTACCTCCTGTTGAAAAAATAATGTAAAGTGCAAAATCCTGGGCACTATTTTCAATCTGTCAATGGAATAAATGAACAGACATTTTAAAAAAAAAAAAAGAAAAGGAAAGAAAGAAGGAAATCCTGCCATTTTTCTTTTTACTTTTTTTTTTTTTAGATATATTTATTTATTTATACAAGCACTGGGTACAGTCAGAAGCGCGGGAGGGTGAGAGAACTCACCAGAGCCAGAGCAGGAAGCAGAACAGGCAGAAGGACTGAAGTACGCTGCTGAGGGGAGCAGCGGGCGGCAGGAGAGGTCTGCGTGCCATGTGGGACCCTCGCCCGGCGGCCGGGGATCGAACTGGTGCTGCAGAGGCTGTGGGCAGCTTTGCAGCCCA